ATTTATCTTCGATTTTTGTGTCAATAACTAATAGTTAAATTTTTTCACAATACCAGTGAATTTCACCTAGCCTGGCCTCGCACAAGGCATTCTAATCCGGGGTGAGTCTCATCAGCAAACTCAACAAGAATCAAACCCGGATTATAGCCTATTCCTATTATTGTGGGTGAATTTAACTATCAGTCCTTATCGCATCATGCGACCTTGGATAAATATTTTTTGTTCAGGATCTACTAATATCTTCAAAGTCTACTCCATCCGAATATTTCTTAGGACTTCAATTGCACTATGCTAGTATTTCATTCCACTACTATGATCCATCTGCTTAGAGGACTGACCTAGAGATCTTTTATTATTGCGAATCTCTTTGTGAATAAGAGTTAAAGGGAGGGGAAAGAGGAGTACAATAGGAATGAAAGCACGCAATAACACCAATGGCTTTTTAAAAATTATGTAATTTCAAGTACTGTAATTAGTTAGTAAGAACTTAAAGGAAAATTGTAGACGGATGAGGAACACATAACCGTTTATTTTAAATTAGTTAAATGAGATAAATTCCGATATTACGGGAAAATGGATTGGAATGTAACAAAGCTTATCACACTGATGATTGGATCAGGAATAGTATATACATAAAGGATGGCGTAAATTAATAAGGATATTACATTTTAATTATATAGCATATAGTGTTGGTTTGAATTAGCTTTAGTAGCTTGGCCGGGGTGACAGAGACCTTATACAACGTAGCCAGTCCTGCGTCCTCTGTCATCCTAGTCATGATAATTTCCAGCATCGGAAATCGGATTTGGAACATTCCTAGAGGTTCTGCAATAATTGCTAATGAGAGATACCAGTCTTAGCACTGAATTCAAACTCGTCAAGGTGGCAGGACTTTGACCTCGCTGACGAGTTATAACTGAGTGCTAAAGCTGGCGCCTCTCACTGGCAACGCCGGTAAAATTTCTAAAACTATACTAATTCAACGGTCAGATGGTAGAAATTGTAATCACTACAATGGCAGACGTTGGACTGGATACATTCTACAAGGTCTTCTTATCACCAAAGATAAAGGAGGCTGTGCCCGAGTCTAAGGCCAAATCATCGTTGTAGTCGTACCTATGTAAAGAGTATAAAATCATATAAGATCAAGACTGATAGTTAGACAGGCCGGGGTTAAAGGAATAAGGGGCAGATATTTTGGCAGCCGTTCAAGATGCAAAAAAATCTGTCTGATGTTCAGTCAAGCCTGAATGGGATTACGCTTGAGTAAAACAATTCATCATATATTCAGAAGTACCACGGAGTCAAACTTGAAGAATGGAGTGAAGTAGGAATAAGGATGGGATTTAAAAGATATTTTGATAACAAGAAAGTGAAAATTGGGCAGCCAGTTGTATACAAAATACCTAAGTCGAATGAAATGCAATTATATATTAGGGAGTGTCGAAAGGGCTTATAAACCAACGTAATCATCTCCACAACAGGTGATAGGGAAATAACTTGCCTTTCTCCGCAGCGAAATTGCCGCATTATTTCTTCACGTTCCTTTTGTACCATGTCGCCATGCATACTAGCGACTGTAAAGTTATTCTTTCGCATCTTTTCTGTGAGCCATTCGACTTTGCGTTTTGTGTTGCAAAATATCACAGATTGTGTAACAGTTAGAGTGTCATAAAGATCACAAAGAGTATCAAATTTCCATTCCTCCCGTTCAACTGCAACGAAGAACTGTTTTATACCTTCCAAAGTCAATTCATCACTATAATACACAAATATGTAATATAAGTATTTTATCTTGTAGACAAAATAGTCCTTTATAAAATAGCAAATATATTTGAGTAGCATATTCTCCACCTTAAAGAGCTTTTACATATAATTTGTAGAGCTTGAATCGGGAGCTATGGAGGATGAACACCAAAATTTCCGCCATAGACTGTAACTTAGATACTGGTCCGACCAGTTTTTGATTTAAAGGATCTTACCCAAAGCACTACAGTTAAGTCTGCCATCAGAGAACTGTACTGTCCTGAATAATCAATCACTTCAATAGGTATATTTTTGAAATGATCTGTATTAGCCTAACAAGATGGCCGCGATTCTTAAACTATTGAATTCCCAATAAGCCCTATATAAGGTAATATTTAAACTTCAAAATGTGGTAATGAACAGCTTAGCTAGTACTGGGAACGAGTAAAAGAGGTATTCAATAAATTGATGTTGAGGTATAGTGTGGATAGCGAGTGCGACCAAAGCATTTTGAACTAAATAGTTAGATAATTTCTGTGAGACTAGAGTATTGGTGACGTAAAGAGATTTTATTTAATAAGTCAAAAAATCCTCACCGTTTAACCAGTATTCTTATTGGATTTGTCATAAATTTAGATGTCATTTCCAGAATTTCGTGAGGCATTGTTGCGGACAGCAGAACGACCTGCGTCCCTGGAGGAAGATAGCGATATACATCGTAGATCTGCTCCTTGAAACCTTTATCGAGCATTTCATCTGCTTCATCAAGAATTAGTAATTTAATAGCTCGAGTCCTCAGATTTCGCCTCCGAATCATATCTGCAAGATTGCGTGAATGAAGTTGGTAGATAGCACATAAGAAAATCACTTACCAAATACTCTGCCGGGAGTGCCCGAAACAACATGTTGTCCGTAATCAAGTTTACGAATGTCTTCTCCGATGTTGGTCCCACCGTAACACGCATGGCATTGCACACTCATGTAGTCACCTAATGCAAGTATGACCTTCTGTATTTGCAAGGCCAATTCACGGGTGGGAGAGAGTATAAGAGCTTGAGTTTCCCGAAGCTGGGTGTCAAGTATTTGCAAAACAGACATTGCCAGTGTAGCTGTTTTGCCAGTTCCAGATTGCGCTCTAGAAATAATAGCAGTGAAAATTAAGTGCTTACTGCGCGATTACATCTCGACCTTTAATTATCTGTTTAATCGCCCTTTGCTGAATGGCTGAAGGACGCTCGAACCCATAAGCATAAACACCACGTAATAGATCGTCTCGTAGTCCCATGCTATCAAAAGTGGGCACGACATCAACTTCTTCAGAGGTTTCAAACTCAACATTCTTCAAATCAACTTCAAAGTTCCGTTGACGAACAGCCATCGCCTAAAACAGACTGCATTTGAGAAAATTAAAAATAACAAAG